AGGAGAATGCATAATCCAAATGTTGTTTGTCATTATTGCAATAGGGTAGGTCATATAGCACCCGTGTGTTTTAGTAGGCATAGGCATTACACGTATAACAAAACACACACTCTGCATGGAACTAACCGAATGAAATCCTTTCAAAAAGGATATTCGAACTCTAACCAATCCCTGCAGGAATCAACGCAAAAGAAACCATATTACTTCTTCTATTATGATGAAAAGAAGAAGATTCACATACCACTTCCGGAGCCCACACAAGTCAAACCGAGGTATAGACATTCGGTTCGAGTAGACTGGAACCCGCCAACCGCAAAAGGACGAGTTGGCCAAGGTAACACTTAAACACACATGTTGGTACATGTGTGTGTGTGTGTGTTTGCGTACCATGTGTAAGTGATTATTGGTGCGTGTGTTTATTAATTTAAAAAGTCGTGTTACTAATCCTCAAGGACCCAAAAGATCAAACGGGTACCAAAATGTTTTCATTGTAGGTGTTAAAGCCAGGGGGAACAAAAGAAATCAATTTCTAGTTCCCAGGACTGAGTGTAAATCGATTTACAGGCTTGTGATAATCAACTATCACAACCCGCAGGAGTTGGAGCAAAGAAACTGAAGGAGCCAACAATCGATTATCAACATTAAGATAATCGATTATCAGGGGCTGCAGAACTTTCTCAAAAGTCAGGCGCAAACTAGCAACAATCGATTATCCACTATAAGATAATCGATTATCTGAGTCTGCAGAAGTTTAAGGCAACTCAGGCGCAAACTCCAACAATCGATTTACCAAACATGGCAATCGACTATTGAAGACTGCAGGACCATCAGCGGAGAATCTGAGGCATCTGATAATCGATTGACAGGTCATGATAATCGATTATCAACGGCGATTTTTCAAAAATCTGACCGTTACAGAGACGTTAGAAGTGCATTCAATGCACCTTTTTGACTTCCCAAACGCATCTCAGGCCTCTTCCACTATATATTGGTGATATCCTTTCATTTTTTACTCACTCAAATCACAATTCCTTCATATATTCATCCTTCTCGCAATTATTCTTCAGTGTTCTTGCAAATCCCTGCAAATTTCTCTTCTCTTTGTCTTGCTCTCCCTCTCCTTGTTGAAATGGCAGGAGGTCAAAGAAAAAGATCTCGCACCGGAAAGAACGTGGCTTCTTCCTCGGCTCCTCCACCATCAACGCACAAATACCTTGACGGGTCGTTTCTTTGGTTCAACGACCGCGAAGAGGCTACAAGGTTCTCGGAGAAGTTTGAGCATCGGGAAATTCTCCATCCCCGATTCTCCACAGCCCGCTTCATTCATGACTCCATTCCACGTGAGGCACGGGTTATCCTTGAACGTGGAAACTTCCTCGATCTCCTCTACATCAAGAAGGTCAATTATCAACCTTTTCTTGTTCGAGCTTTCTATTCGAACTTGAAAAAGGATGAGGACGGATCGTTGATTTCAAACGTCAATGGGGTAGACATTTATTTGAATGAGGAAAACATTCAAATCCTCACCGGGCTTCGACGGGACGGACAGGATCTCGGGCTCTACGTCGGAGAAGAAGGAGCGCGGTTCAATGAGACCGCTCTCTTGGAGGAAGTGGGCATCCGTCA